CTCCTTCTCCTGGGTACCACTTGCTAGTGGTGACATGCTGCTATGAGCTTCATTTGATGTAAGTGCATTTTGTATAAATAAATTAATTTTTATCTACAATACTGCTCTATATACCTCTTTTTCTTCTGAGGATTGAGCGTCTTGAATTTGCACCTTTGGTCCGTATACACAAGCTTCCCGAGAGAAGAACCTTTTATCTATATACCCTATGGAAGGGAGACAAGTTCAGATCCATAGTTTGGTCCTGTAAGTTCTCTACCTCCGGGAGTGTATTATACATTGACTGTACATGCTTCACTATTGTGTGATTTTTCTTATATTTTAGATCTTGTGAAGGAAGTTTCTTGTATTATCTACAGGTTGTATATATTTTTTGTGCTACCCCTTTAATCTACACTAGTATTTTATACAGTATAGATTTACTTTTTTGTTCATATTATATTGGTGTATGTGAGGTACACTGTTGGGTGTTTGGCACGTTTCCTCTTGTCTTGGTTGGGAGATTATATAGTACCTTTTTCTTTTTTTCATAGAATGGGATTAGTGCTGGGAATAATGTATAGAATGGGATTAGAGCTGGGAATAATGTATAGACTGGGATTAGAGCTGGGAATAATGTAAAGAATGGGATTAGTGCTGGGAATAATGTATAGAATGGGAATAATGTAAAGAATGGGATTAGTGCTGGGAATAATGTATAGAATGGGATTAGTGATGGGAATAATGTATGGAATGGGATTAGAGCTGAGAATAATGTATAGAATGGGATTAGAGCTGGGAATAATGTATAGAATGGGATTAGTGATGGGAATAATGTATAGAATGGGATTAGAGCTGAGAATAATGTATAGAATGGGATTAGAGCTGGGAATAATGTATAGAATGGGATTAGTGCTGGGAATAATGTATAGAATGGGATTAGAGCTGGATTACATGACATTTTAACTGTCAATGTCATAATATTGTTTGCTTTTACTGCAATTAAATACACATATTTGTATTCAGCAAAGTCTCACGTGTAAAACAGTACCCCTATGTACAGGTTTTATGGCATTTTGGGAAGTTACAGGGTCAAATATAGCACGTTACATTTGAAATTGAAATTCGCCAGATTGGTTAAATTGCCTTTGAGACTGTATAGTAGCCCAGGAATGAAATTTACACCCATAATGGCATACCATTTGAAATAGTAGACAACCCAAGGTATTGCAAATGGGGTATGTCCAGTCTTTTTTAGTAGCCATTTGGTCACAAACACTGGCCAAAGTTAGCGTTGGTATTTGTTTGTGTGTGAAAAATGCAAAAAACGCCAATTTTGGCCAGTATTTGTGACTAAGTGGCTAACAAAAAAGACTGGACATACCCCATTTGCAATACCTTGGGTTGTCTTCTTTTGCAAATGGTATGCCATCATAGGGGTAATTTTCATTCTTGGGCTACCATAGGGTCACAAAGGCAACCTAACCAATATGGCGAATATTAATGTGAAAAAAATGAAACACAAGCCTTATATTTGATGCTGTAACTTTTGAAAACACCATAAAACCTGTACATGAGGGGTACTGTTGTACTCGGGAGACTTCGCTGAACACAAATATGTGTGTTTCAAAACAGTAAAAAGTATCACAGCAATAATATCGTCCGTGTAATGCTGTTTGTGCGTGAAAAATGCAAAAAACGTCACTTTTACTGGCGATATCATCATTGTAATACATTTTACTGTTTTGAAACACTAATATTTGTGTTCAGCGAAGTCTCCCGAGTAGAACAGTACCCCCCCATGTACAGGTTTTATGGTGTCTTGGAAAGTTATAGGGTTAAATATAGTGCTAGCAAATTAAATTCCCTTTACTTTCTGCATGGGTTGTCAGGCAGGTCCCGCTAATTGTAATTAATTAAGATACCTAATTATGTAAAAATATTACCTAAATATATATGTAGAATTATTATATGTATATATATACGTATGTGTATATATATATATATATAATTTTTTAAAAATATTTTTATTTATATATAGGTATATGGAGTAAGGATCCAGCATAAGCGTAGGATAGTATAAAGGGAGCAAGTCGGTTGTGGTGTGCCGAGACCGACGATACGGTAGGCCTGTAAATAAAGAGGGCCCACCAAGGAGTAAGAAAGTAAAGTAAATGGAAAGAAAAGAGAAAGTGTTGAAATGAGGAGTGGGTGGGAGGGTCATTCTGATGCTGACCTCAAGCGATATGAGTCAGGTAAGGGGTGTCCCTTATATAGGGGAGTGAATTAATTTAAGCCCCTCCCACAAATACAGGCAAAACTGCCTTAATACTTGTGTAAGGGGCAAAATAGCCGTATATGGAGTAAGGATCCAGCATAAGCGTAGGATAGTGTAAAGGGAGCAAGTCGGTTGTGGTGTGCCGAGACCGACGATACGGTAGGCCTGTAACTAAAGAGGGCAAAAATGAATAATCAAAGATTTAATACAGTCAACAAATATATATAAATTAACCAGACATTTCCTTAAATGCATTACAGTATTTAATTCCTGGAAGGATTTTTGAAGGTAGGAATCTAGGACCGAAAGTGGGCACCATTTGTTGTTGGTAGGATAGTATGTTATCTCTACTGTTGGTGTGTGTTGACTCGTTTCGGAATGTGGTAGAGCCAATAGGTAATGATATATGTGTTTACGTACGTGGGATCGTTAAAGACAATGATCTGTCTGAGTGGTGGTGATGGTAGTGGATTCTCTGGCCTGAGAAAGGCATAAAAGGCAGTGTGCATGGCTGGTAATGGCCGACTTGGTAGTATAATTGAATGGTTGTAGATCTAATAGGTCCGATAAGGATGAAAAGTTGGATGGCTACTGGTAATATCTGAGAGGAACGTGGGGGATGGATTCCTGAAAACCTCTGAGTATATTCTTGTCTGGTATGATAGCATGAAGTTATGGTAGCTTTGGCCATAGGTTATCCTGTGTTGTTGAATGCCTGTAAAATATATAATTAATGGTGTGTGAGATAGTTTAAGTTTAAGGTGGCAAAAAGAAGCAAAACCTAGGAGAAATGTTATGACACAGGTTGAGCTATGTCGTGTTCCAATGAGATTCTTTAAAGCCAGGTGAATAGGTGTTATGCGTTCTACAAGTATGGGACGAAAGTGTTAGGTGGGATAGTGCATGCTATGCTGCATGAGTATGTCTAATCCATGATTTTGTCTCTGGAACGAAAGAGTGGCCGTGACTGTATGGGCGGCTGTAGGAAGCGTATGATGAACATGCCTGGAATATAAATGAGACAGTTGTCGGCAGGGATGTATACCCCCATCTGGTACATGAAAGTGAAATGTGATAAGTGGCCAACCAAGTGAGTTCCCCAGAAATATCATGACCTTATGGATGAGTAGTGGCGTTTGTTGATGATATGACATGTGCTTAGTTGTCTGAGTAACAATGGATTGATGATCCTGACCATGATTTACCCCATGCCACAGCAGCTGCTACAATGGGGTAAGATCCCCAAAGGGGCTGAGGTGGTGGAAAAATTTCCAAACCTGGATCCCATGGCCAATAGCTCCAAAGTAATGGTTCCTGGTAGATCGCTGCCAAACCCGTGGTAGACGCCGCGTCTGAACATCTGGTTGGAGAAGTGTCAGACAATCCTGGAAGGAACATGCTTTTACCATGCCAAGTGGTTAAGAAATTCCCACATGTGCAAGTCTGCTGTTGCTGGGGTGTCTAGGGACATCCTCTGATCGTCATGTTGGAAGTGTGGAAAAAAGGGGAAAGTACTCTGGATGTGAAAGTGTGGTCTTGTGGTATGATTGGCATGGCAAAATTAAGGAACCTGGTAGGGATTGTAGTTCCTTGCAGTTGTAAGTACTAAGCAGGTAGTGATTGATGTAGTTGAGAATGTTCCCTATTTGTCTTGTGGTAACTTGCGTGTATGGATGCCGACTCAAGTCATGCTATATTCCTTGAAGGTGTATTTATGATACCTGTATGGGAGCCCTTTGAAGCTCCAAAGCTTTAGTAAATCTATTACAAGTCTGGAAGGTTGATGAGTCAGGAGTGTTGAAAATGCATTGGTGTGTACAGATGGTGAGTACGTTATTTGTAAGTTGTATTGGGACACATGGTTTGTCATGTGCCCTGAACCATTTGAACATATATGCAACAGTCTATATGCAATGCAATATTCAATTGTCTCTGGTAGTTCAGAGGTGCTGGTACCTGGAGCCTGAGAGTGCTCGTCCATTTGTTTGGGACAAAATCCCTTCTGTATGGGTACCTGCACAAATAAATATCTCTACATATTCCAAATGCCAACCCAACCAAGGGATGGTCAGTTCCTGATTCACCTGGAATCCCTGGATCTGACCATCACAGATACATCATCATACATATATATGCCTTGCTTCCCCAATGTGCTGGGATCACACGTGCAGGGTTAACGTCTTGTGTGTCATAAGAATTGATTGTACCAGGTAACAGAGTTTCGGTTGGTGCTGGTTGTACAGTAGCGTGAGGCCCAGCATTGTGAGGGCTGTGGTGACCGACTCGAGATTGCCAGTCTTTCATAAATTAATTTTATTTTTATTTTATTTTTTGGTTTATGAGTTTGAGTGAGGCTAGCATGGCCTGGGTGTCACCTGAGTTGGTGTAGCAGGGCCTTCCCCTGCCTCCGTGTTGTCCGTTGATGTATGGAGGAGTTTGAATAACTCTGCTTTTCCTTGCTGTGGCAAGGAAGGGGATTTGTCACCTCCTTAGGTTGGTGGTAATGCATGGGATCGTCCAGGATCTGATTGCTGCTGGACTAGCAACATCTCCTCTGCTTAAAGGTGTATCAATTCTAGCCGGGGTGCTAGGAAGAGGTGATTCTTCAACATCTTCTTGAGAAATACTTAAATAACAATAAAG